GGGGTGCCGGTTGTGTGCCCCGTCCCCTCCTTCTCCTCCTCCTCCGTCTCCCGCTGCTGCAGCTGCCGCTCAGGGGGGTGGTTGTGTGGGGAGCCGAAGGAGTGGTCCTAGGGGGGTGAAGGGGGAGTGGAGCTAGGGGCGCAGCAGGGGGTGTGTGTCGAGGGGTGTGGGACTGTTGGGGGAGGTTGAGCGGAGGTTGCCGTCGTGTCGTACGCAGCGCCTGTACTCCGGGGCACTCATTCCCGGTAGCTCAGAGAGCCGGTTGCGCCGTCGCCTGTGGGTCCGTTGCTCCTGCCGCGCATATTAGCCGCGGAGCCTGTTACTCCTGTACTCCGGGGCACTCATTCCCGGTAGCCACGTTGTCGCACCAGAGCCGTCTGTTGCCCGTGTGTCTGCATCTTCAGTCGTCGCCTCCTATCTACTCTCCTCTCACCAGCCCTCCTCCTCCTCACTTGCCCCCTGTGACTGCCTCTAGCTTTGCTCATAATTGTGAACCTTAAACTATTGCTTCTTGCTTGTGCTCAGAATGTGTGGTGACATCGTGATCCACCCTGAGCTTGTACTACTTTGCTTGCTCTGCTGATTACACCCCACTTTGACTATGGGGGTGTGTCAGAATATTATGCTCTAGCCTGCAGTGGGGTGCTCTATAGCGAGTACAACCCTTCTAGGGTTAGCTATTTGTACCACCATTGTTGCTAGTGCAAACCCTCCTTTCTTCATTCTTACTTTCTACAGCTAGTTCTGACAAGATCACCTCGAGTACTAGTGGCTGCTGCCGCTCCGAGTAGCTGTAGATGGTGTTGCTTACATGACCATAAGGTAGATCAAATTTATCGTCCCTTGGTCCTGTGCTTGAAGCTGCAGACTCAGTTTCCAACTTAGCAGGGTTAGAAGGATTTATCCGAGGCCGATTCAGCTTCTCTAGGGCCTGGAACCTTCCCCTAAGCCTTTGCAGCTGTGTAGGCTCCTGTGGGGAACGGCCGGGAGCCTTATCAGGGAGAGAATATTAACTTTTCGGAACGCTCGACCCTTATCAGCGCTCCGGAATGGGGTCCCCATATTACCCGGTACCGGTTTAATTTCTGACTCTCCCTTAATAAAGGCTTGAAAACCACGAGAAGTAATATTCTTAGTTAAAGTATCTTTCTCGGATAACTTTAACGAATTCTTACTTGTCGGGGTGTACGGCTGGAGTTTCCCGGTCGGTGCAGGGTCTTGTTTCGCGGAGTCTCCATTTGTCTCGGCGATTTCCCCTGGAGCCGGCTGGTCGTGACGTTTTAATTTCGCGCCACCGTATTCTCCTTTTTTCGCCCTCTCCGAAGTCGCCACGTTGTCAGTTTTCTGCTTCGGAGGTGCTACATTGTTCTTGTCCCTCAGGTCCGCACGACCTTTCTTCGTCTTCCAACACGCCAAGATACGATGTCCTGTAGCGCCGCAAAATTCGCACGTCGCATTTTTTGCTAGCCACTGCGTCGCATCGTCCTTGTCGTTCTCCATCGGGTCCGTCGTCGTGGGTGGTGCCAATCGCTCCATGCCACTATTTGGCTTGTTGCGTCGTGTTCCGTAGTAGCTACTGTTCAACGCGTCGAACTGTTCGATCAGTGCTGCCCAAAACTGCGCCCACGTCTCTTCGCCTTGGACTATTCTATTGCGAATCCACTCTAGAGCCGGGCCTCGTAACAGTGTTTCTGCGAGCCGTATGCGCAATGCGTCTTGGTTGAGGGTCGTGCATCCAACGGCTTCGAAGAAATTTTCTAGTACAGCTACAAATCGACGGACGTCGCTCCCTTTCGCTCTAGGATCGAACGCGTCTGGTCGCCTCAGCTTTTCTGCTTCGAGATTAAATGTAGCTGCTGCCGTTGTCGCAGGTACAATTATCGGTGTCGCCGTCGTCGCTTCTGCTGCTGCTACGACTACCGATTGGTTCGCAAGGAGTTTTTTGAGTCGTGGGAGCGCCGCACATATTTGCTTATGCTCAGCACGTAACTCCGCGAATTTCCGTATAAAGAAATCTCTATTTCCCTCTATTTGGCGATTTACAGAAAGAAGCGCGACGAAAATAATTGAATTATGGGTGCTGGTCGACTTACTGCGAGTCGAATCGACTGTAGAATTGACAAGCACGAATTCGGTAGGTCGCGTAAAACTCCTCTACGCGAAATTCGCGTCCAATCTCGGCCGTTGAAGAAAAAATTTTATCTGACGGTCGAAATTCCAACTTTTTTGGGCGAAATTCTCAGGACCGTTAAGATGAAAATCGATCGAACGGTCGAAATTCCTAGAATAAGGGGTGTTCAAAACCGAATCGAGGGATAACTATAATAAGCCTAAAGTAAAAGCAACGAAGGATAACCTTTTTGGGATTTACTATAATAACTATAGTAAAAGCAACGAACCTAGGAAATCTAGCAAAAGCAAGCAAAATAAAGCAAAGCTAAGCTAGATAATGCATAATAAAGCATAATCAAGCTAGTAAACCCCAGCAAAGCCGTCGTACTCTCACAATATATTTATTGTAGTTATAAGCACCGAACTAGGTTGAATGCACCGAATTCTAGGCTTTGCGGTCGCCAACGGATTGCCTTCTACTTAATTCGGGAAGGGTCTGTTTGGGACGCTTCGCGACCCTCGGAACCTTCGCGTAACACCTGGTTACTTGCCTTGTGTCGAGCCTATATATAGCCTCGCCTTGTACCCATGTAAAACATTCAATTCAAATAATCTTTTCTGAGCTCGATCCTAAGATCCTCACATGGGTTGCGGGTACATCTCCTACAGGTGCTGCTCGTGCTGCCGCGGGAGGTACTCGCTCTGGGGGTGCTCAGCCGGGTACTGTCGAGGACGGAGCCGGTTTTTCAGTTGCGTCTCCTGACACCACTCCTCCTCCTCACCCCTACCCGAGTCTATACCAGGCCCTTCTTCGTCTAGAGCGTGAGGAGCTGCTCCGTTTGGAGCGTGAGAGGTCGGAGGTTCAGCAGCGGGTGGAGCGTGAGAGGTTGGAGTTGCAGCGGGAGCAGCAGCCGCCGGAGCAGCAGCAGTAGCAGCAGCAGCGGCCGCAGCGGCCGGAGTAGCCGGAGCAGCCTCCGGCCCCTGTTTCGGGCCCTTGGTCTCCCCTCCTCTTCTCCCGTGTTCGGTCCTACGTTTCCTCCTCCGGACTCAGCTCCGGCTGTGTTCCCTCGTTCTCAGTCTCCTCCGTCTCCCTCTCCTCTCGCCCACGCTTGGACCTTTCGTCCTCCTCGTGCTCTTCCTTCGTCACTTGTCACTGACCTCCGTACCGTGTTGTTTCGTCCTAGTCCTCCTCGTCCTCCTCCGTCTGTTCTTCCTCGTCCTCCTGAGTCGTCCCTCACTGCGTCCCGAATCGATTCGTGCATCAACGGCCCTGGGAATTTCGCCCAAAAAGGTTGGAATTTGGGGCGTCGGATCGAATTTCAGCTCAACGGCCGAGATCTGACGCGAATTTCGGCTAAGGGAGAATTACGCGACTAGCAGAAACGGCGCTCGACATTTCTACAGTCGATTTTATTCGCAGTAAGTCGACCAGCACCTAGATTTCAATTATTTCTGTCGCAAATCTTCCCGTAAATTGCGAAATTGAGGAAAACGGTAATAATTCCGTACGAAAAAATACAGAGTTACGCACCGACCTGGACCAGATGCAGGCGGTATTAAACTGTATTATGCTTGTAGGCTGTAGTGGGGTAGCCAATATGGGGTACAACCCCAACTAGGGTTTCATATTTGTACCCAAACTTCTGTTAGTTCAATCATTCTTGCCTAGTGATTCTGACATGGTATTCAGAGCAGGAGGTCCCTAGGACCTACCGATCGTTTTTAGGGCCCACCACCGCTCGCATGCGGTTACCACGCTACCCCGTTCCCTAGCCTCGTAGCGCCCTCGCGCGCCCCTTCGTTAGCGCCCTCGCGCGCCCCTTTGCTAGCGCCCTCGCGCGCCCCTTGCTAGCGCCCTCGCGCGCCCCTCACTAGCGCCCTCGCGCGCCTCTCACTAGCGCCCTCGCGCGCCCCTCGCCGAGCCGCCCGCTCGCAGCCCGCCCGCTCGCTGCCCGCTTCGCGGCCCGCTCGCTACGCAGCCCGCCCGCCCGCTCGCTGCCCGCTTCGCGGCCCGCCCGCTTCGCAGCCCGCTCGCTCGCTGCCCGCTTCGCGGCCCGCCCGCTTCGCAGCCCGCTCGCTCGCTGCCCGCTTCGCGGCCCGCCACTTCGCAGCCCGCCCGCCCGCTCGCTGCCCGCTTCGCGGCCCGCCCGCCTCGCAGCCCGCTCGCCCCGCTGCCCGCTTCGCGGCCCGCCCACTTCGCAGCCCGCCCGCCCGCTCGCTGCCCACTTCGCGGCCCGCTCGCATCGCAGCCCGCTCGCCCCGCTGCCCGCTTCGCAGCCCGCCCGCCCGCCCGCTGCTCGCTTTGCGGCCCGCCCGCCTCGCAGCGTCGCCCGCCCACCGTGCTGCCCGCTTGCAGCGCCGCCTGCCCGCCGCGCTGCCCGCTTTCCGGCCCGTCCGCCGCGCTGCCCGCTCGCAGCGTCGCCCTCCCGTCGCACTGACCGCTTGCAGCGCCGCCTGCCCGTAGCGCCAGCCTCGCCCGCTGCTCTCTATCCGTGCACAGTCGTCTTCCCCTGCTGCGGCAGCTTTCGTTACTCTCGCACACTGTCGCTATGGCTTCCATTCGCGTGCTGTCGTTCGATGCTGAGGGCCGCCCTGTGCGTTTCACCGCTTGGCTAGATGACCTGCAGCTGTTTCTCCTGAGCGATAGCAAGGAGCATGTGTCGCTCTATGACTACGCGTCTGGTGCTGCGCCTGCCCCTCCTGCCACAGCTGAGCTTAGTGTTCGTTCCCACTGGCAGACTCGTGACGCAGCTGCTCGCCTAGCCATTCGCAGTCACCTGCCGTTAGCTGAGCTAGAGCATTTTGGCGACTGCAAATCCGCTAAGGCCCTGTACGACGCTGTCGTCGCTCGCTACTCCTCGCCTGCCACAGCCGAGCTTAGCCGCCTCATGCTGCCGTACCTGTTCCCCGATCTGTCCACCTTTACTACAGTCGCCGATCTTATCACCCACCTTCGCACTAGTGATGCTCGCCTGCGTGCCGCCCTTCCCACCGAGTTCTGCGCTAAGAACCCCCCTCCACTGTACTGGACACTCCACTTCATAGTCACCCGTCTCCCTGACACCCTCCGCTCAGTTCGAGACCACTTCCTTGCTCGCTGTCCCACTGAGCTCACAGTCGCCCTCCTAGAGGAGCAGCTGCTCGCGGCCGAAAAGAGCATTGTAGCTGTCGGTGCTGCTCGTGGCGCTCCTCGCACCCCCATCTTTGAGGGGTGTTCTCCCTCTCCCCTCGCTCCCTCCTACGCTGCTGCTGCTGCTGTTGACTTCCTTGGTGCTGAGTCTGTTGGCGCTGCTTCTACTCCTGGTGGGAGGCGCCGCACCGGCAAGGGCAAGGGGGGCAAGGGTGGTGGTGGTGGCGCTGGGGGGGGAGGAGGTGGGGGAGGTGGGGGGGGAGGCGGTGCTGGAGGGAGCGGTGGCGGGAGCGCTGGTGGGAGTGGGGTCGGTGGTGGAGACGGGGGCGGCGGAGGGACCAGTGGCAGTAGTGGCGGCGGCGGCGGTGGCGGCGGTGGCGGTGGTGGCGGTGGTGGCGGTGGCGGTCGGAGCGGTGGTAGTGGTGGCGGCGGAGGTCGGAGTGGAGGCACTGGCTCTGGCCAGAGCTCCCAGCAGCAGCAGCGTCCCCAGACGACCCAGCAGCTTCGTGAGTGGCTTGCTCAGCGTGGGACGTCGGGGGCCAGTGCCCGCTGTTCTTATGTCATTCGCACAGGTGACCGCAAGGGACAGACGTGTGGGAGGTTCCACACCCCGTACCGCTGCTTCTCCCGCCTTGACGACGCTTGGCGTGAGGAGATGGGTGCGGATGTTGAGCGCCCCCGCTGGGCTGAGCTCATGAGGGCTGGTGTTGATGTCTTTGCTCTTGACTATGATGCTATTATTGCTGCCATGTATGCATTGACTGTTAGTGCCGAGGGAGACTGTTACTTGTGTGTGCCGCCTGACCCAGGTATAGAGCCCGCTGCCCTGGGTACTAGTGAGTCTGCTCTCTCTGGTATGGTGCCCCGTGTACTTGCTCCCTCCAGTGCTGTCCCGACTGGTTTCGAGTCTGCTCTCTCAGGTACAGCACCCACAGAGACTGCTCTCTCAGGTACCGCACCGGCTGAGGCCTGTCACACCTTCACCCTTGACTCAGGTGCTTCCCGTTGCTTCTTTCGTGACAGTACTGAGCTCACACCGCTTCCTGCACCGGTCCCAGTCTCCTTGGCTGACCCCTCTGGGGGCCCAGTCCTTGCCCAGTCCACCACTGTCCTCCCTTGTCCGGCGGTTCCGTCTGGCTCGTTGTCGGGTTTCCACCTCCCCTCGTTCTCGACGAACCTGGTGAGCAACGCTGTCCTCCAGGATCAGTGGGTTGACACCTTTACCCCTGGCGGACAGCGTGTGGCGATCTGCACGTGCTCCAGGACTGGCCGTCACCTGGCTACGTTCACCCGTCGGCCGGGGTCGAGTCTCTACACACTGACCACTGCGTCTCCCCAGGTAGCTGCTGTCGGTCAGGTGTCTGCGTCAGGTCTGGTGGCCCACGCCTGTGAGTGTCGTTCCCTGTCGCACCAGACTCTTCTCTGGCACCACCGCCTGGGTCACCCCTCCTTGCCACGCCTTCGTGGCATGCACCGTCGCCTCCTTGTGTCCGGTCTTCCCAGGTCCCTCCCTCCCCTCCCTGCCTCGCCTGCGCCGCCCTGCCTTCCCTGCGTCGAGGGGCGGCAGCGCGCCGCTCCTCACTCCTCCTCGTTCCCCCCGACAGAGGCTCCTCTGGAGACCCTCCACCTGGACGTGTGGGGCCCAGCCCGCGTTCGTGGTCAGGGCGGTGAGCGGTATTTTTTGCTGGTTGTCGACGACTACTCGCGTTACACCACGGTCTTCCCCTTGCGCACCAAGGGTGAGGTCCCTGCTGTTCTGATCCCTTGGATCCGCACGGTTCGTCTCCAGCTCCGCCGCCGTTTCCGGACGGATCTTCCTGTCCTGCGTCTGCACTCTGACAGAGGTGGTGAGTTTTCCTCCGACCTCTTGAGGACCTTCTGTCAGGCGGAGGGCATCGAGCAGACCTTCACGCTTCCGGACTCCCCACAGCAGAATGGGGTTGCTGAGCGCCGCATTGGCCTGGTCATGGAGGTCGCTCGTACCTCCTTGGTCCACGCGGCGGCTCCCCATTTTCTGTGGCCGTTTGCTGTCCGGTACGCCGCGCATCAGCTCAACCTCTGGCCCCGTGTCTCCTTGCCGGAGACCTCGCCCACACTGCGTTGGACGGGGGAGGTTGGCGATGCGTCGCGCTTCCGGGTGTGGGGTGCTCGTGCCCTTGTCCGCGATACGTCCGCGGACAAGCTCTCCTCCCGCACGCTTCCCTGTGTCTTCCTTGGCTTTGTCCCTGACGCGCCTGGCTGGCAGTTTTACCACCCCACCTCGCGCCGGGTCTTCGCCTCTCAGGATGTCACCTTTGACGAGTCGGTCCCTTTTTACCGTCTCTTCCCCTACCGCACTGCCCCCCTCCCTCCCCCGCCGCTTTTCCTTGCTCCTGGTCCCCCTCCGGTAGACCCCCTTCCCCCTCAGGGTCCTGCTCCTTCAGGTGTCTCTCAGGTAGACCCTCCTCCCGTCGCTGAGCCTGTCGAGGTCACAGGTGACTCAGGTGCTGCTGCGGGTGGTGCTGCTGGGAGTGCTGAGCCTGGGGGTGCTGAGCCTGGGGGTGCTGAGCCTGGGGGTGCTGGGCCTGGGGGTGCTGGGGCTGCAGGTGCTGGGACTGAGGGTGCTGGAGCTGAGGGTACGGTGCCTGAGAGTACGGAGCCTGGGGGTGCTGCGCCTGGGGGTGCTGAGCCTGCGGGTGCGGGGCCTGGGAGTGCTGGGACTGCAGGTGCTGGAGCTGAGGGTACTGTGCCTGAGAGTTTGCCGCCTGGGGGTGCTGAGCCTGGGGGTGCTGAGCCTAGGGGTACTGAGCCTGCGGGTACTGAGCCTGGGGGTGCTGCTACTGAGCCTACGGAGCCTCGGGTTACTGCGTCTGGGGGTGCTCCGGTTCGGGGTGCTGAGCAGTCTCTCACACCGCAGCAGCTTCGTGACTGGTACGTCCGACGCTTTCGCCGTCCTAGTGGCTCGGCTGGAGTTGGGGGTGCTGGAGCTGCTCGTCCTGGGGGTGCTCGTACTGGGGGTACTGGAGCTGCCGGGACTGGCTGTTCTGGGAGCACTGCGACTGGAGCTGCTGGAGCTGGGGACTCTGGCGCTGGCGGTGCTAGCGGAGTTGGAGCTGCCGACTCTGGGGGTGGCGCTGCTGCTGGTGCTGCGGACCCACCTGGTGGAGCTGCTGCTGGTGCTGAGGAGTCGGACGGTGGAGCTGCTGCTGGAGCTGGGGACCCGGCCGGTGGAGCTGCTGCTGGTGCTGTGGACCCGGACGCTGGAGCTCCTACTGGTGCTGAGGACCCGGCCGCTGGAGTCCCTTCTGCTTCTGGAGACGCTGCGCGGCCGCGACCGTACTTCGTACCGCTCCTTCAGCAGGTTCTTGGGCAGGCTCCTCCTCCTTTTCCTCCTCCCTCCGTAGAGTGTCCTCCGCCTGTCCAGCCGCAGTCACAGTTACCGCCTGCCTCGCCTCTCCCTGCTCCCTCTCCTTATACTGGTCCCACAGGAGGTCTTACAGAGCGTCGTGAGCCTGAGTCTCGTCCTGCGTCGCCTGTTCGTCCTGCTCGCACTGCTAGTCGTGTCCGTCGTGAGCGTCCTCCTCCTGTCCCAGGCACTCACTACATGACTCTGCGTCCCTCTACTGCTCCTCGGCGTGTCCCTCTACCGTCTCCTCCTGCGTCCTCTTTGCCTGACGTTCCGGACCCTGAGTCTGACCGGTATCGCGCTGAGCACCCTACAGTCACGCGTCTCCTCGCTACTGTTGTCACTGACCCTACCTTTGAGTCCTCGGCTGCGTCTGCTCTGGTCGCTGAGTTGGTTGACTTTGCTGCTGCCTGTCGTCTAGACTACGCTGCTAGCCTTGTTGCTGAGTCAGAGTCTGCGTCTGTCTGTCCTCCGTCCGTCGGGGGTGAGTGTGCTCTTGGCACGGACGTCCTTGAGGACAGGCAGGAGGACTTTGACTCTCTTGCGGCTGCTGTACCTCATCTCGTGGCCTGGTTGCTTGCCCCTGAGGGAGACCCGGATGCACTAGACATCCCCACTCCGCGCACTTACGCAGAGGCGATCTCGGGTCCCTACTCCTCTCAGTGGCAGACAGCCATGGACGCAGAGATGGCATCCTGGAAGTCCACAGGCACCTACGTCGACGAGGTTCCCCCTCCTGGGGCAAACATCGTCGATGGCATGTGGATTTTCAGGGTGAAGCGGCCGCCAGGTTCTCCGCCTGTCTTCAAGGCTCGTTACGTTGCTAGAGGCTTCAGTCAGCGTCAGGGGGTCGACTTCTTCCAGACCTTCTCCCCCACCCCGAAGATGACCACTCTTCGGGTTCTGCTGCACGTTGCTGCTCAGCGTGACTACGAGCTTCACTCTCTTGACTTCAGCACAGCGTTCCTGCAGGGCAGCCTGCACGAGGAGATCTGGCTGCGCCGCCCACCTGGCTTTACTGGGTCGTTTCCCCCTGGTACCCAGTGGAGTCTCCGCCGGCCAGTCTACGGTCTCCGCCAGGCGCCACGTGAGTGGCACGACACACTGAGGACTACTCTTGCGGCTCTTGGGTTCGCGCCGTCTACTGCTGACCCGTCGCTGTTTCTGCGCACAGACACGTCGCTGCCGCCGTTCTACATTCTCGTGTACGTCGACGACTTGGTCTTTGCTACTGCTGACACTGAGGCACTCGCTCGTGTGAAGTCGGAGCTGCAGAAGAGACACACCTGCACTGACCTGGGTGAACTGCGTAGCTACCTTGGCTTGCAGATCACCCGGGACAGAGCTCGCCGCACCATCACCCTGACTCAGTCACACATGGTGCAGCAGGTCCTTCAGCGCTTCGGCTTCCAGTTCTCCTCACCACAGGCCACACCTCTGGCTACCAGCCACTCGCTCTCAGCTCCACCTTCGGACGAGTCCGTAGAGCCGAGTGGCCCGTACCCAGAGCTTGTAGGCTGCCTCATGTACTTGATGACTTGCACGCGACCTGACCTCGCGTACCCTCTTAGCATCCTTGCTCGTTACGTTGCGCCTGGGAGACACAGGCGAGAGCACTGGGAGGCTGCTAAGAGGGTGCTGCGTTACCTGTGCAGTACATCAGGCATGGGGCTGGTGCTTGGAGGACGCGACAGAGTTGTCCTCACTGGTCACTCGGACGCCTCTTGGGTGGACGACCTGGCTACGCAGCGGTCGTCACAGGGTTACACCTTCAGCCTTGGCTCAGGTTCTGTCTCGTGGCGGTCCACCCGCTCTTCCTCTGTTCTCAGCTCTAGTTGTGAGGCTGAGATCTACGCCACAGCCATGGCTGCACAGGAGTTACGCTGGCTCACCTACCTGCTGACTGACTTGGGAGAGCGGCCTAGTTCTCCTCCAGTTCTGTACGGTGACAACAAGGCGGCTCTTGCCTTGTGTCAGGAGCACAGACTGGAGCACAGGACGAAGCACATTGCTCTTCGCTACTTTCTTGCTCGAGAGCTTCAGCAGCGCGGTCAGCTTCGGCTTGTGTACGTGGACTCGAAGGCCAACACTGCTGATATCTTCACCAAGGCGCTCCCGCCTAGTGATCATCAGCGGCACTGTACTTCTTTAGGCCTTGTGTCCATGTTTCCTCACTTGCTCACTGCTTGACATTCTTTGTACTATACTTTATATATATCTTGTTGCTTGCTTGCTAGGTTTTGATCACTGTGTTGCTTGTCTTGTACTATATCTAGCACTGCATGTGAACTGGCCTTGTGGCCTTTACTTGTGCTCGGAGTGTGGTGACGTTGTGATCCACCCTGGGCTTTGTTTTTTCTTTGCTGGACTGGTCTTGTGACCCTTTGTTCTCCCCCACTTTGCCTATGGGGGTGTGTTAAACTGTATTATGCTTGTAGGCTGTAGTGGGGTAGCCAATATGGGGTACAACCCCAACTAGGGTTTCATATTTGTACCCAAACTTCTGTTAGTTCAATCATTCTTGCCTAGTGATTCTGACAGGCGGCACTCCAGCGAGTAGAGGAGCTTCTCGCGAACCAGTCGGCAGCCGCCACGGCAGCAGCAGACGTAGCAGCGAATGCAACAGCGACGACAGCAGCAGTGCACAACGGCAACACCGACACTTGACCAAGCAGCAGCCACAGTGAATCTTGAGGCGGCACGTCCGAGGCTACCGGAGACGTTCAATCCGAATGCGAGAGACGCCGACGTCCGTCGATTCATTGCGACCCTCGAAATTTATTTCGAGGCCGTTGGCTGTACGACCCCGACACACGATGCAATGCGGATTTGGCTCGTAGGGACACTGTTGCGAGGCCCGGCGCTCGAGTGGATTTACAACGGTAAGGGGGAATTTTGCGGCGCAGCGGGACATCGACTCTTGGCGTGTTGGAAAATGAAGAAGGCACGAGCAGAGCTGCAGGGCAACAACAGTGCGGCACCCACGAAGTCAACAAACGTGGCGACTTCGGAGCGGGCGAAAAAAGGGAACATGGTGGCGCGAATTCAAAACGTCACGACCGGCCGGGAAAAATATCCAAGCGTATGGTGAAGGGCTTAATTTGGAAGTTCGCCGACACGTGATTGTCGTGAACTACAGCAACTACCACGACATGGTGTGTGCAGCAGAGAGATTTGATGCGCTTATGCAAGGTCAACCCGAGACATAACGCCACGTGCCGAACAAATCATTTGATACGAAGTGATCGGCACCACCACGACCGCCGACCCGATAATTATCGACAAGATCGACGCAAAGCAACGGCCAACAAAATATGAGAAATGTAAATTATGCAGCGCATAAGGACATCGACTCTTGGCGTATTGGAAAATAAAGAAGGCACGAGCAGAGATGCAGAGCAACAATGGTGCGGCACCCACGAATTCAAAAAACGAGCATCCCCAGTACCCACGGATCGACCTGGCGATCACGAATAGATCCGGAAAAGGCAAAAAGAGCCAGCGAAAAATCACTGAGACAAATGGAGGCTCCGTGAAACAAGACTCTGCACCGACCGGGAAACTCCAGCCGAACACCCACAAAAGTAAGAATTCGTTAAAGTTATCCTATAAATATACTGTACCTAAGATTATTACTTCTCGTGATTTACAAGCCTTCAGGGGAGATTTAGAGGCTAAGAAAAAGCCCTTAGAGATTATTCAGGTACCTGAGAAGTTGGGCAAACCACTCCGGAGCGTTGAAAAGGGTCGTGCATTCCAAGGATTTTATATTCTCTCCCCGCAGCACAGTGTTAAGGCTCCCCATTGCCCACAGGAGAAGCCTACACAACTGCAAGGGCTTAGGGGAAGGATCCAGGCCAAGACGAAGCTGAATCGGCCTCGGATAAATCCTTCTAACCCTACTCAGTTGAAAACATATTGAGTCAGCAGCTTCGAGGGAAGGACCTAGGGGTGACCTATTCCACGTACCCTATGGTCCTGTAAGCGAGACCATCCACGGTTACTCGGAGCAGCAGCAGCCACTACTCCTCGAGGTGATCTGCAACGGGCGACGCCTCCAGGCGATGGTGGACAGCGGTGCGTCCCACTCGGTGTGTGACCGCGGGACGTTGGAGAAAGTTGGAGAGAAAGCGGAGAACACCCAGTTCCCAGCAACGATGGTGGACGGTACGAAGCTTCCCATCCACGACGAAACATTACTGCAGCTGCATATAGGTGCGTTGAGGTGGAAGCCGAAGCTACCAGTCACCAACATCAAAGGGTTAGATTTCATCTTGGGGCGAGATTTCTTGAAGCGGTTCAACCCCGAGAAAGATTAGGTCAACAGGAAGGTCAGCATCTACAACAACGGGAAACGACAGGAGCTGAGAAGATGGACGGATACAGAGGATGTTCATAAAACGACACTAGCACGGTTCGAATGGACGGTGAACGAGAGTAACACGGGTTACCTAGCACTGGTCATGGCAGCAGCAGAGGAGGAGAAGTCGAGTTCGGAGCTACCTGCAGCAGTAAAGGAGGTCTTGGAGCAGTACAAGGATATAATGCCCGACGACCTACCCGAAGGTTTACCTCCAGCACGCACCCACGAGCACGAGATCGTGGAGGAACCAGGTGCGAAACCCGTCTCACGTGCACCTTACCGACTGAGTCCGACCGAGCTGACAGACATGAAGAAACAGATCGAGTATCTACTAGAAAACAACTGATCCGCCCATCCACCTCTCTTCAAGGAGCACCAGTTCTCTTCACACCGAAACCAGACGGCAGTTTACAGGTGTGCATCGACTACCGCACACTGAACAAACAGACTGTTAAAAACAAAAACCCCATACCGCGCATCGATGACTTACCGGACCAACTGCGTGGTGCAACAGTTTTCTCGAAGCTGGACCTACGGTCGGGTTACTGGCAGATCAAGATGGCAGACAACTCGATCCACAAGACGGCGTTCCGTACCAGATACGGCTCCTACGAGTATCTAGTGACGCCATACGGACTCTGCAACGCACCAGCAACATTCCAGGCGGAGATGAATCACATCCTACGGCCCCTGCTGGACGAATGCGCCGTAGTGTACCTGGACGACATTCTCATCTACTCCAAGAACATGAAGGAGCACGTGGAGCATCTACGGAAGGTGTTCGAGATCCTGCGGGAGAATAAGTTCTACGTGAAGCTGTCGAAGAGCGACTTCGCACTGAAGAAGGTGCAGTTTCTCGGGCACATGGTGAGTGCCGAGGGCGTACACGTAGACCCGCGGAAGATCGAAGCCGTTAAAAAGTGGAAAGTCCCGGAGAACGTGAAGGAGTTACAGCAGTTCCTCGGCTTCGCCAACTACTACAACAGGTTTGTGCCACAGTACGCTAAGATAGCAGCGCCACTGACCGACCTACTGAAAAAGGATACGCCCTTCAAATGGGATACTCCTCATCAGCAAGCCATAGAACAGCTACAGACAGCACTGACCACAGCGCCAGTACTCATCCTACCGGACCCAGACAAGGACTACGTAGTTGAAGCAGATGCTAGTGACCAGGCAGTCGGAGCAGTACTGATGCAGGACCACGGACACGGTTTACACCCTATCGCCTACCTCAGTAAAAAGCTACACGGAGCAGAACTAAACTACCCCATCCACGACAAGGAAGCCTTAGCTATAGTCGTAGCCTTCAAGGCGTGGAGGTGTTACCTAGAGGGAGCCAAGACCATAGTTTACACTGACCACTGCAGCCTCAAATACCTGAAGTCGCAGCCGACACTCTCACGACGACAGGTGCGGTGGGTGGATTTCTTGGAGACCCACTTCCACTACGACATCGTCTACAAACCCGGGCTACACAACAAAGCTGACGCGTTGAGCCGCCCCGGTCATGTAGCAGGCATCCAGCTCAACGGGATGAACCCTCTGCTCAAGGGTCTATTCCAACATGGGTACTCCGTAGACGCAGAAATAGCAACGGCAGAGAAACAGTGGCTGTTACAGTGGGAGAAAGACTTAGCAGTAAGGAAGGGTTCAGGAAAGATTTGGATACCGTATTACGCCCCGCTACGGCAGATCCTGTTAGAGGAGTTTCACGACGTACCATAC